GTCCCCACCCCGCACACCTGCATGGTGGAGATGATGAGGCCCCTGTGCATGACAAACTGGCCCAGCGCTGCGGAGCGCTTGTAGCTGTTTCGGCCGTGGACCATGAGCAGCCGCCCGAGGTGCTTGAACTGGGTAATGGAGAAGTCGGCCGCCAGGGAAGCCTGCTTCCCCTCCTGTGGACAGAGGGGCCTTTCAGTGTGAGCACGAACAGCAACACACTCTCCACTCAGAACTGCATGGTCAGACGGACGTGGGAGGACCTGAGCCTCCTCTGCAGAGCTCACATGTGCCTCTCAGGACGCGGGTGCTGACAAGGTTCACACGTGCGCTCCAGGGACCTGAGTGTGCAGACACCTCTCACGCTTTCCCTCCTAGGACGGACATGTGCAGACACTATTCACACGCACCGTACTGGGACATGTGTGCTGACATATGACACGTGGGAGAGACAGAAAGCATACATAGAGCCAGCACATGTGTCCTGAGACATCTGATCTCTGAGGCCCAGGGGCTCAGTCTCTCTGGGCAGACAGACACAGGCTCGGCCCTGGGGCTCCATCCACAGCGTTGTGTCAGGTGAGCGAGCTGTGGCAGGGAACCGCTGCTGGAAGGAGGAGACGACTTCCAAGCCATCGGAACATTCTGACCCAAGTGGTCGGGGTGGGGGCGTGGGCCACCAGGCAGGGAGGGAACCTACCTTGCCCTCAATTCCGATCCCACAGTCGGCTGCCTGGATCATGCTGACATCGTTCCCACCGTCACCTGGGGAAGCATCATAGTTAGAGACAGCACGTCAGCGCACACTGTCCTGCTCTACTGTTACACACCATCGAAGGGACTCAGACTCCCGACGGGCGACCGTGTCTGTCCGTGGAGAACTGGGCTCCGTGGACTTTCAGGCCTTTTTTCCTCAGGGTCCTAGAACCCCTGACCATCTACCCGGCCCCACAGCCCCGGCCCGGCTCACCGACAGCACACGTGCGCTTGTGTGTGTGCTGCTGCAAGAGCTTCACGATGTGGGCTTTCTGGGTGGGCGAGCAGCGGCAGCAGACCACGGCTGGGCCCTGGCAGGCCAGCTCCACAAACTCATGTTCGTAGTACTTCAGGCAGACCTAGAACACAGAGCCCTGCTCACAGGAATCCTCCATCCAGCTGCCGGGACAGTGTGGGGGGTGCAGACGGGGCAGTGCTGCTGGCCCCTCAGGACGGCAGCTGGAGGAGGGAGGAAGACAGATGCAGGCATCTCACCCACCCACCAGGAATCAGTGGAATAAATGAAGGTGAGTGTGGGCTATCTGACGCCAAGCTATGGCCTGTCTGCTGAAAACACAGGCCAGGGTACCCATAGCACCCACAAGGGACACCAACACTGCACTGTGGGACTATTGCGAGAGGGCAGGGCCACCCAGTGGAAGTCCAAATGCACACCCCTCAAGTCAGTTCTGACTGGGACGGTCTCTGCAGAGCTACTGCTTAGGGGTTCCGAGACTGGGACCCTTAGCAGGAGTAGCTGCCCTGAGGTGAGCAGTCCTGTGCTTATCCTACAGCACCACACCAGGGCCAGCTATAGAACCTTGGAAAGAATAATGGCCTGTGGTCTACCCACAATCCCACAGTAAAAGGGGGGGAAACATCATCTCAGGCTGCTCAGCGGCTCCCATAATGACACTTGCCTGATGCACATCCAGGGGGCTTCAAAATCTGGAAAAGTCCCATTATCATTGAACCCCACTTTTCTCTGGGGCCCTCTTGAATGTTAAAAACGAGACAGAAATAGTAGAGCCCGGCATCCACAGGGTCACCACCTACCTCCAAGGAGTCTCCTGAGATGACGAGAGCACAGTCATGCTTCCTTCTGAAGGCGTTCAGCTCCAGGTGGGCCTCACCCCGGTTTGTCACCTTTGTGGGCAGAGAGTCCATATTAACAGGGTCTGTTAGGGGCTCACAGGACAGACAGATGGTCTGACACCACCGCCTGTGAGGGACAGGGAGACGCCGTGGAAACAAGACGCTGGCTTGTCACAGATCCAGCACATGCGCCCACCACTCCAATGAAGGGATGGCCATGGGACTTTAGGATAATGACTGACAGTTCGCTTCAGGCCTTTACACGGGATTGTACCTCACAGAGTGATGGGCAGGCAGAGTGGCACGTAGGCACGGACCATCAGAGGCCAAGAGACAGAAACATCTAAAGTCCAGGTTTGGTTTCAATAAGCCACTTTTCCAAATATGCTAAAGGACGTAAAAATACCTTCATCAAATTGCTTCAGGGGTCTCTGCCATGGGTTTTGTTTAGAAGCTGAAGGATTAAAAAAAAACTTCAAAGAATAAAATTAAGCTATAATCTTGCAATCCCACTTACCAATTTTAGAACTGAAGACACTTAAGAAACAGATATGCTGGTTTTTGATGTTCTTTCTGTAGAGATGTTATGGGGCATAAAAGAAATGATATAGCATAGGGGAGCTCTGGTAGTGTAGTGGTTATGAATCGGGCTGTGAACCGCAAGGTCAGTAGTTCAAAACTACCAGCTGTTCCATGGGAGAAAGATGAGGCTTTCTGCTCCCATAAAGATTTACAGCCTCAGAAATGAGTCGGAACCGACTCCACGGCACACAGCCCACCACACCACCACAAGGAACATAAAATTTCATGTGGTGCAAATTAACAATCTTGAACTCATCTGCAAATAGAGGGATTTGATGATGAAAAACTGAGGCACTCTAACACTGAAAAGTCCACAAAGTTGATCTGAAGTTTCATCAGAAACATTAATAATTGAATTGCAAATAGTCCTCTTCAGGCCCAGGCCCTGATTTGTGAAGCTAAGGCTTCACAGCAAATGACATTCACATGCAAATTATATTCAAATCACTGTCTCAGTAGGTGCACATACTTAGACATATAATGTCTGTTAGCCCAACATCAATCATGAACCACAGAATTTTTGTTGGAATTAAATTTTCAGTTGTAACTAATATATACAGTACACATAAATTTAGATAATTTCTATTAATTTGCCATGGACTAATTAAGGGAAAACACTTCATTTGAAACTGGTGGCAGATAAGCAACACTCTTCTGTGTTGAGCTGAGAAGTGTGTCTGAAACACTCCGTGAATGTTACACAATGGTGGAAAGATGGAATTTGAACAGAAAGGAATGTACCACCTGCATTGTAAAGCACACATTTAGTGACTAGTAAACAGGATCAGCATTGCATCAATTCCACCTCAGAGTGACCGTACAGGACGGAACAGAACTGCTCCATGGGGCTTCCGAGACGGTAAACCTTTATGGGAGCAGAATGGCTCATCGTTCTCCTGCCGAGTGACTTGGTGGTCTTGAACCTCCAACGCTTAAACCACTAAGCTAGCAGGCTCCTTAATAATCCCACAGGACAGGAGTACTCTGAAGTCGTGTATGCCGCAGAGCAGCTTTCTGATCACGCTGCTCGGATCTAACTAATGGGGGTCAACTGTCCATGAACGTTCCTTTTTATAAATGGAATTAACAGTTTTTCTTACAAATCAGGTACAGAGCACACGCCTTCTCAGAGAAAGTATTTGGACAGTTCACCATGCAGATGCACTTACAGGTCTGAAAACATGGATGTCCTGTGTCCGTGAAACCAGGTGTGAACTTTTGGCGATGCACGTAGCTGTCTCGAGTTTGTCTCCTGTCAGCATCCATATCTGTGAAAGTTAAAGCGCTGAATGCAAGAGGCCGGGTGTTGTGCAGGAGAAGCGAGTGAGAGCAGGGACTGTGGCCTCATGGCCTGATCATGGCAATGCCAGCAACCAACCCAGCTCAAGGCCTACTTCCAGACACACGGCTCCCAAAGGAGCCTGGGGTTAGGGTTTGTGGCACTTTGAGACTGGGCTCACTGAGCTCAGATGCCGCTGGAAGGAGTCACCTGAGAGGGTGGATCCTGGGTAAGAGACCGTTCAAGTGTGGAACCGTGTGAGCTGGTGCCACCGAGCTGCTCCAGCTCATAGAGGCCTTGTATAGGGTTTCTGAGGAGCAGCTGGTGAGTTTGAACCGCCGACCTTGTGGTCCAGTACTTATTCCCCAGAGCCACACTAGGACCCCAAGAATGTGAGTACATAACTACCTCAAAGATAAGCTGGTGTTAGTTAGGTGCTGATGAATCAGTTCCGACTCACAGCCACTGGTACAGGGTTTCCCAGGCTGTAAATCTCTAGGGTAGCCGAGAGCCTGACAGAACTAAATACAGGACGTTTATGAACAACCTTAGCCTCATTGTGTCTCCTGTCAAATGTACACAGTGTGTCAGAAAGCACTGCTACATAAGCCTTCATTACACACATGCCACAGTGGAAGCCTCCATGGAGGCCCATGGACTCCTTCGCCAGGTCACGCAGCTCTGAGGCCTACCCACTCTTTAAAACGCTTGATCCATTTAAAAACTGTTGTTTCATGTGAGGCAACATTCCATAACTATCGAAACCAAGTTTCAATGATTTGGGAAGATGCCCACTTGAGTTTTGTTAAACACTTGTTTTTACCGTGACCTCAAAATCACATTTTTCCATGGCACAAAAAACATCCTTTCTTAGTGTGCAGACACGCTAGAGACTCAGACAAGTGCATTCCTGAGAGGACTTGTCTGTCGTCTTCCACTGATGGCAGAGACGTGTTTTAAAGCCTAGTGTTTGGACTAGATCCCATGCAGGTATGTCCCGCATTAGGCAAAATGTGCTACCTGAGCAGACGGCACTCTGAGGACTAAGGTGCGCTGCAATGACCTGAAATGCACGTGAGAGCCGGACACCGAGTAAGAAGACTGCACAAGAACCGATGCATTGGAATTGCAGCGTTGGACTGCTAGAAGACCAAGTATCTGTCTTGGAAGACGTTGTCTCTTGTACTTTGGACATGTTGTCAGGAGGGAACAGTCCCTGGAAAATGTCATCATGCTTGGTGAAGTGGAAGGTACCCAAAGACGACGACTGCCGCAATGACACGGACTGACACGTGGGCAGCAGCCACAGCGGGCGCAAAGTCATTGTGAGGATGGTGTGGGGCCCAACGCTTCGTTCTGTTGGCTTAGGGTCACTAGGCGTCAGAACCGACTCGTCGGCACCCAACTACAACGCACGAAGTTTACCGGTGCTAACAGTACGTTCTCACTCACCCTCATGGGGAAAATGTCAAGTTCTTTGGAATCAGCCTGATTCAAGGTAACTCCCTGAATCCACTCCTGTTGGCAGTGTGACAGGGAGTGAGGGCTGTAGACCCCAGTGTCTGCAGAGCCCCACAGCGATCACCTTCGTCAGGTGCGGAGGATGGCGTCATGATGCCCCGGGGGACCCTGGTACCTTGATCCCTGCATTCCGCAGCATCTCCAGGGTAGGCCGCACGTCGGCCTGCAGCTGGTCCTCGACCCCCGTCAGGCATAGCAGCTCCATCTCCCGCTCCAGACTCTCCACCACGGCGGCCACTTTCAGCGAGCGGTCGTGCAGACTCAGCCGGGCCTGGCTGTACCGGCTCTGGGGGGGACAAGGGACACAGTACTAATGGGGGCCATTAGTACCTACACTGTGTGCCTGATTCAGGGGTTAAGCACCAGGACTTGTATGCAGAGGGGGCACCAGGTTCTGGGGTGGGGGGAGTGAGGACCAGGACTTGTGTGCAGAGCGGGGACCAGGCTCTGGGGGTGGCGGGGAGGGAGGACCAGGACTTGTGTGCAGAGGGGGGACCAGGCTCTGGGGCGGGGGGAGTGAGGACCAGGACTTGTGTGCAGAGGGGGGACCAGGCTCTGGGGGTGGCGGGGAGTAAGGACCAGGACTTGTGTGCAGAGCGGGGACCAGGCTCTGGGGCAGGGAGGAGTGAGGACCAGGACTTGTGTGCAGAGGGGGGACCAGGCTCTGGGGGGAGTGTAAGCTCCAGGACATGTTTGCTAAGGGGAAGGACCAAGCCATGGGTCGGGGTTGGGGGGACAACTTCCGGGAGCTGGGCCTCCAGCCCTGAGCTGACTGAATGCTGACAGAAAGCCCCGCTGTGTCCAGCTGCCTCTGGACGGGAAGGGACTGAGGTCCTGGCAGAGCTGACGGTCAGATGAACGCACCTCAAAGTCCTGGTACTGCTCCTCCGTTAGCGCCCTCTTAGCGACCACCAGCGTGCGCAGGCCTTCCCGAGCCATGTTCCCACACTGGGAGAGACAAAACTCCTGGTCACAAGCAGGCTACCCACTCCAGTGCGGGGTGAGGTGGAGGCAGCCCAATGCCATTCCCGAGATGCCTCCCTCTCTGCTGACCCCGTGGACCCCAGGCTCCATTCCCCACCAGCTCCTTCCGTGGTTACTACCTAACCTTCCTGCATCAGGAAAAGGCCCCAGTCATAGGGTTGTCCTTGGGGCTAAATCAGCCAGTCGTTGAGTGGCTATCCGAGCTTGCAGTATGGGCAGCAGGACACAGGGTCCAAGGGTGCCGGAGAGCCAGGCCACAGGGTTCCTGCTGCTCTCGTTGGCTCCCTTCGAGTGCCGTTGTTGCTGTGTGGCATCGAGCACATTCCGACCCCAGGACTGAGCTGAACTGCAGTGTAGGACCCAGCTGGCACAGAGCAGAGGGTGGGTTTGAACCCTAACCCTGTCATTCAGTAGCCGAGTGCCTGACCCCCGTGACACCAGAGGTGCGGTTTCAAACCATAACAACTCTGTGAGAGCTTTTTGGCACTTGTAGCACTAAGAGAACCCATGGTGGCCACTACTGCCTTGAAATACCAGAGAATTTCACAAAATAGGGGTAGGAGCTTCTGATGAGCAGGGAAAGGCTGTGGCTGTGAGCAACACTGGTGTGGGGTGTCAGTTTTGACTCATCGTGACCCCATGCACAACAGAACAAAACACTGTCCAGCCCTGCACCGCCCTCACAATTGTGGCAATCACAATGCAAATCCGTCTTGTTGGAAGTCTTTCTGTTTTCTGCTGACCCCCCACTTTACTAAGCATGATGTCCTTCTTTACTTCCTCCTGATAAAAAGTCCAAAGTATAAGAGACGGAGTCTTACCATCCTGGCTTCTAAGGAGCATTTTGGTTGTACTTCTTCAACACAGATCTGTTTGTTTGTCTGTCCGTTTATATTCAATGTTCTCTTCCAACACTGTAATTCAAACGTAGTAGTTCTTGTGTGGTCTTCTTTATACATTGTCTGACTCTCACATGCACATGAGACTACTGAAAATACCATGGCTTGGCCAGGTGCACCTTAGCCCTCAAACTGGTATCTTTGCTCCTGAACGTTTTCAAGAGGTCTTTTGTACATTTGCCAAATGCAATATGTCATTTGATTTCTTGATTGCTGCTTCTACAAGTATTGATCACGGGTCCAGGTAAAATGAAACTTTTGACCACCTCCACCTTTTCTACGTCAATCATGATGTTGCTTATTGGTCTAGCTGTTTTCTTTACACTGAGGTGCAATCCACACGGAAGGCTGTAGTCTTTGATTTTCATCAGTCAACGCTTCAAGTTCTCTTCACTTTCAAGCCAGGAAGCTTGTGTCATCTGCATGTTTCCGGTTGTCAATGAGCATTCCTCCAATCCTGATGCTGTGTTCTTCTTCATATATTCCAGCTTCTCAGATTATGTGCTCAGTATATAATGGAATAAGTACTACGAAGACTGAGTAAACATGGGGAAAGGATACAACCCTGATTTCAAACCATTTGGTATCCCCTTGTTATGTACAATAGAGAAGTAAGCTGCGGCTGTGAACACAGAGGACCATCCGTGTAGAAGTAAGCACAGAGGGTATCTTAAATTGTGGCTTAGCCCCCTCCTATCTATATGGCCTTTTTTTTTTTAAACTTTCCATAGTGAATTGATTGACGTTTAAGACAAGATCATCAGCTTTACTTTCAACTAATCATACGTTTTGTTTCATCTAAATGATAACAACAATTATCCTGATTTCTTCCCTTGGCTTCCCTTTTACATCTATTTCCCACAGATCAATAAAGCAAAAATAGCTGATGTGTGCATATAAAACAAACATATATGTTCCAAGGGCACATTTTGCAAGGCAACTGCCTGCCTGCCGGCACACAGTCCATCTCAGTCCTTGGGCTCCAAGTCCGCAGCTGCTCCAGCTCTGTCTCGACGCCATCGTCTCTGCCAGTCTCTGCTGTTGACACCTTTCTGGGGAGGGTCTCACGCTCCAGTAATGCTCTTTTTCTTGATGGTCCTCTGTTCTGCAATGAAAGATTAACTACTCCCTCCTTGTATTTACACGTCTTCTACAATTAAGATGTGGCCATCGCAATGACTCCTGAATCATTAAAGCCTGTCAGCATCATCTCCCACTCCCTTTCACCAGATCTCTGTGGTAAAGAGGAAAGTTTTTCAGTGGGGATTCCTCATTCTAAAACTAAGCACACTCGGGAAAGCTTGTAAGCTAGCCACTTGTGCCTCTAGAGACCCCCGTTTTTGATAGTACCAATTTCAAAATTGCCTTTCCCTGTCAACCCAGAGCATTGGGAAAACAAGTGTGATCCGTGATATGAAGAGTCTTTCCATTTCAGTTGGACTTTTGAGCAACTGCATCTATAAGCAAAAGGTCCAGTTCATCAAATGACAGTAATTTATATTTGCTCACAGTATCAAGCATCTTTATCTTCATCTAGTTAAGTTCTGCCAGCTAGCCATCCACGCTAGGTCAAATGGGTACTAGTTCAAGTTTGGGAGTTCACGCATGCCTCTCCGTACTGCAGACCAGCTGGCTGCTTCACTCTCAGCTCTAGCTTCCAGGTGCCCCATTTTGGACCACCTGTCTCATCTGTAGCAGTGTGCCTGCGGTCTGACGTCACCTGTGTTCAAAGGTGAGCAGGCCTTATAGCTCCACAATCCGCTCGTCCAGAAAGCGAGGGGCATTGTAAGTTTGCTTGCAATAAATACTTTCCTCTGGTGCTTACGCCTTTCTGTGATATGATGAGTGACAAGTATGCGTTTGTGTACCTCCTCTTTTTCCTGGTGGAGAAGAGGAGTCACATGCACTGAGGACACGGGATCTGAGATCGGCCCTTTCTCTGAGAGCACTGCTGCAGATCACTCTCATTCGAACAAAGAAATTGGAGGAGCGTTGCGAGAATTCTCCATGGAAAGACAGCACTGAGAAAATGAATGTACGTGGGGTTTTTAATAAAGTTATCTTTGTGACAAGCAATCTGGTACTGTCTGTTGCAAGACACTTATTGATTTGACCTCATAATGCTAAATAAATTAAACAAGTATTTTCCAATTAATTGCACGTCATTATGACCCAAAGTAATTTTTATGGCATTTTACTATGTCTTCAGGGAGTTTAATTTATTCATGTCCCTGATTAAATCAAAGTGCCCTGGAGGGGATATTGATTCATATTGCCAATGCTACTATGAACGTGATGGTGATCACGTGCCTCTGTGCGCTCTGACCATTCTCGATGTCCAAGGAGACAGTCGCAGTGAAGAGCACCGTCTTCATAGCTCCACCTAATCGCCAATCCTCTGGCGGTACAGACGTTGCAACAATGCACAGCAGGGCTGCATGAGCCTAGACCCAAACAAGTCATACAGCTGGGGACGTGTGAGAACGAACTCACATACCACAGGACTGTGAGGGTGGGGCAGGGCCACTTGGAGATGGAAACAACTGCACAGCATCTAACAATAACGTTTGTACCTGATTGTTTATTTCTAGAAGAAACTAAGACGGTCTGGTGATGCTACGGGTTAGACGGTTAACTGCAAAGTGCAGCTCAAGCCCACCAGTCACTCCTTGGGAGAAAGATGAAGCTCCCTGCCCTGGTAAAGGCTTACTGTGGTCTCAGAGCCCTACACAGGCTTCTGTGAGTATGAAGTGACTTGATGTCACTGCTTTTGTTTTTCTGAAATGTATAAATCAGTGTTACATTAAACTTATAGGATTCTGGTTACAAAATAAAATACTGTAGTAAAAAAGTAACTTTGGCTATATTGTTGTTGTTGCAAGCTGTCAAGTCGGTTCCAACTCAGCAACCCTGTATAGGGTTTCCGAGGAGCAGCGGGTGGGTTTGAACTGCCGACCTTGTTGTTGACAGTCCAGTGCTGATCTTACAGCTCCACAAGATGTCAACATTTTTGGTGGACAGTTACTTATGTTTCCCATTTTCCCACTGTTCTATATAGAATATTTTTCATAAGGAATAATTTATATACTTCTACAGGTATTCACGCAAAAAACAAAAATAATCCTTATTTACACAAAAGCATTGACAATCAAAAAGCTCCTATCTTCTCTGCCTTTGCGACTACGAATGGTAATCCTTTCCAGTAACGTGGATAATACTGTCTTGCTTAGCAATGTATTAGTATCCTGACTAGATGGCTAGAATGACCATGTGCTCAGGTTAGGGGAAGGGCACTGCTTTCCTGCCGCCTGCCCACCGAGCCTGGTAAACACACCTGCACACGATGTTCGAGGTTAAGTAGCTGTCTTACCTCCTCTTCCAGCCAGTCATTGTACTGCACAATGGGGGACATAGCAACATCAGCGCCCTTCATGTAAAACGTGATTTCTGCCGTGGACTCATCCTAGGGAAGCGTGAAAACAAAGGCAGGCAGGCAGTCAGCTGGCTCCTCCCTCCCAGGCCACCCACCATCTGGGTCACGTGTGCTCTGTCTACGACCTGGGCTCCAGGTGGACAGGTGTACCCTCGGTTCTCACACCGCATCTCATGCGTCCTTGTTTAGCCAGCTTTCAAGTATAGTTTTGGCACTTGCCAGAACCTTTGACAGAGGTCTATTTCAGCAGCTTCATGGTCATAAAGCATTGTGAGATCCAATATTGCGGTAAGAAAGCAACCTACTGATTTTAAAAACCAAGCTACCACTTTACTGACTGTGCCCGCATGTTCTGGGGACCTGGTCACCCCACTGCTGCTGACTGCAGGGCCTTACCAGCTTCTCTGTCAGAAATGACGAGTTTTCCATGAAAAACACAGACAAACAAAAGAAAACAAAAGCTCTTGCAGTTGAGTCAATTGATAACTTTGATGTTTATGGCGGTTCTGAACACAGACACATACAGTTACCGCCACATGTAAATCTCACAGCGCAGTGAGCTCAGGGCAAAGATGACCCTGCGTGTCTCTCCCTGACGATGAGCCCACGTGTACACTCACCCTGATGACCACCTCGTGTGAACTCACCCTGACACTGACCCCACGTGTGAACTCACCCTGACGATGACTCCCATGCGCTTGCTCTCTGACGTGAAGGGGAACACCTGCAGGACGTGGTAAGTCATAATCTGTCCGCTGGGCGTCTTCAGCTGCATGGAGGCCAGGTCCCTGTTGACCAGGGTGAGGCCTACACTCTCTGTCCACTGAACAAGAGCTACCTGGCGAAAACCAACAACACCAAGTGGTCAGCAGCCTACGAAGTGGTTTGCAGGGCGAGGCAGTCAGGGGCCTCAGCACCACGGATACGATTCTGTGGTCCTTCTGAGCACATCTTTACATGACACCACAGCTGACGTCACTGTGAGCACTAGCTCATGGGAGCCCCTGCCTCCACACACCAATCAGCCTTGGAAGCTCAGTGTTCCCTCCAGGGTCTTACACCCTAGTTGCAGCAATTCCAGGCAGAAAGAAAGAATAGGAAACTTTCACATTTAGCAGGATATTTTCACAAAATGGGAAAAACAGCCAGTGTGTGAAAGTGTACAGGATTTCCTATAAAATGGGGGTAAGTTGTGAATGTGTGCCCGTGTGATTCACTTTAGAAGGAGACGCAGCCGCAGAGGACGGCCAGCCTGGCTCCGTCTGAGGACAGCTGGTGGCTTTGTGAGTATTCTTTGCTCCTTGGAGGACCACGTTTTTCATCAGAAGGCACACTTGCAGACATGCATTAAGACTGAGACGATGCAAACAAATTCCCAAGGATATAGCAGGACGGAAAAGTTGGAGGACTCTAATTTCAGTGATTTCGTGTCTTGTTAAGTGCCGTCGAGTTGGTTCTGACCCATATTGACCCTGAGATGGGGTTTCCCAGGAGGAACTGGCGAGCTTGAATCACTGACCTTGTGCTTCAAACCAACTTTGCAGTCCCACACATTAATCCACAGCCCCGCCGTGGCTGTTCTGGGGAAAAAGTGCTGTGCGCTCCGGTGTGGGAAGCCTCCGCAGGGTCTCTGAGTCAAAATCAGCTCGACTGGGAGTTGATTTGGCTGTTGTTCTTCAGCGTCTTCAAGTTTGTTCTAACTCCCAACAAGCCTATGTCCTCATACAACAGACAGAAACAGGCCCATCACTGCTGTAGCAACCGTGGTGATTCGTTTGGTTGAGGGTCTTCTTGTTTTGCTGGTCGTCTACTTTACCAAACATGAGTCCCTTGTCCAGGGGCTGGTCCTCTGGAAAAAGTCTCATCCTCATCATTTGTAAGGCACACTGTGGCTGCACTTCTTCCAAGACAGATGTGTACGATCCAGTCAACATTCCTCACCAATGGTGTTGTTACTAGGTCCCATGGAGTCCGTTACATGTACAATAAATAGAAGGAAGCAGTCAGTCTGTGCTATTCTCACACTTGTTGTTACGCTCGAGCCCAATGCTGCTGCAACTGTGCCAATCCACCTCGTTGGGGGGGGGGGTGTCCTCCTTTTATCACTGACCCTTCACTTTAACAAGCATGATGTCCTTCTCCAGGGACTGGGCTCTCCTGATGATGTCTGAAGTATGAGAGACGAAGTCTCACCGTCCTGGCTTCTACGGAGCACTCCAGCTGAACTTCCTCCACCACTGACCTGCTCCTCCTGGAAGTCCATGGGGTCCTCAGCACCCTTCTCTAATACTACAACTCCCATACATCCGTTCTTCTTCAGCCTTCCTGATTCACTGTTCAGCATAGGAGGCTATTGAAAATACCATGGCTCCAGTCAGGCACACCACCTCAGTCCTCAAACCAAGACCTTTGCTCTTGAATACTTTAGAGAGGACTTGTGTAGCAAATGGGCCTACTGCAATATGTTGTTGAATTACCTGGCTGCTGGTTCCATTAATGGTGACTGTGGAACCAAGCAGAATGAAGTCTTTGACAATATCAATGTTTTTTTGTTTTTTTTTTTCCATTTATCAGGTTATTCATTGGTTCTGTGATAAAGATTTTTGTTTTCTTGACATTGAGGTACAATCCATACTGAAGGCTGTACTCACTGATCTTCATCAGGAAGTATATTAAGTCTTCTTCACTTCCAGCTAGCCAGCTAGTATCATCTTCCCCAATACCAGAATCTTCCACTGCCTACCTTATTCATTGTCCAGTTCTCACATGCGTATGAGGTGACTGAAAATACCCTGGGGTACTTGGCTCAGGCACAGCTTAGTCCTTAAAGTGACGTCTTTCTTATTTTTTTAAAAAAACAACCCTTTAAAGAGGTCTTCTGCAGTAGATTTGCCTACTACAATCTGTCATTTGCTGCTTCCAAGGTTAATTCGTTAAGTAAGATACAAAACAACAAAGGGACAATCACATGGTAGAGAGCAGCTTCCAGCCTGCAACAATGGCTAGAGAATGAGACATGCCAGGACAGAAGGTGGATGAGGTAACTGCTTTGTCCCCATGCTCCAAGGCAGTGCAGCGGAGGCTCAGGCAGTAGCCAGCACGGATGTGACACTCGTAACAGCAGAGGTCTGCAGGGATCCCAGCCTTGTCACTGGGAGCCACTCCAGCACCCAAGCTGTCCTGGCTGCGGCCTAGACACAAGTCACCCTACTCTGCCTGATTCAGACTCCTCATTTGACAGCTCATGAGCAGGTTACAATTTGGTGCTGTTGCCACTAATGCCAAGGGGGTCGCTATCAGCAGCAGCACTGCTCAGCATTCCTGGTACTGCGGTTCTGGTTTAGGCTGGGGGTTTGACTACATCACCCTCACCAAGGACAGTTACAACATGTCCAATGTGACAATGTAGTGAGTCACTGGGGAAGAGACTGGAATTAGAGCCCTCAGTTGCCGACTTGTGGTTTGTTACTAAGACACCGAGATATACTGAGATCCTAAAATCATGGGACGATAATACAGTGCTAGAATTTACAGCAATATACTCTAAATTACAGACTAAAAACAGACGCAGGACGTCAATACCGAGTTCTAACACATCTGGGGGACTAATGAGCACCTCTGCAACACCATTTGAAATGCAAAATGAAAGTGGGACTCTACACCATTCCTCCTCTGTCAGCTGCACATGGTCTAATACTTGCAAGGTTAATTCGCAATTTGTGTCGTGAAAGGCTGCCATTACGTTCTGACCTGTAAATTGCATCTTCTGCTAGCACCCGCTCATCTCTTCGGTGCCGCGCTGCGTCAGAAGCTCAGCATTCTATATTTGGTGACTCACATCTGGGTATTATTTAGTTTATGCTTGGCTTCACAACCCATTTGAGATAGCAGCTTATAACAAAAGTCAGTTTAGTTCTTTATGCCTCCTCACCCAGCATCCAGACAATTGTTTTTAATCAGTAACCATTCTGAGGCCTCGCTCTCTACGCAATGCCAAGTATATATATATATAAAGAGTATTCAATTTTATTTATTTTTTAGACAAAAAAAAAATACCTTTAATTACTGTTCTCATGTAACGTGCTCAGTTTTGTACAAAATTGGTTTTGGTGGCATCAAACGAAGGAGTACAATTACATAGTGGTTTAGTACTTGGCTCTTAAATCAAAAGGTCTGTAGTTCAAACCCACCAGTGACTCAGTGAGAGAAAGGAGTGGCAGTCTGTTCCTGTAAAGATTGCTGTCGTTGAGTGCCATCGAGTCGGTTCTGACCCATAGTGACCCTGTAAAGAGTTTCCTAGGATCGACTAGTGAGCTTGAACAGTCAACCTTGCGGTTCAACCTGACTTTGCAGTCCAGTGCATTAACCCACAGTGCCACACCAGGACTCCGTAGAGATGATAGTCTTGGAGACCCTGTGAGGCAGTCAGAAAGAATATAAAATTCTGGAATCAGACCTATAACCAAATAACTACCAATGGGAATACTTTGTATAAGAATATACAGAGTTTTGGCGTGGTACTGTCGGAGTCCTGGTGTGGTGCTGTGGGTTAATGTGCTGGACTGCAAAGTCACTTTGAACCTCAAGGTCAGCGGTTCCAGCTTACCAGTTGCTCCTCAGAAACCCTATACAGGGTTGCCATGGGTTGGAATCAACTCAATGACACTCAACAACAGCAGCCACAACTGTGGGATAAGCACAGGACAGCAACGTCGAATGACTGCAAAGTGGGGGTTCAAACCCACCAGCTGCTCCTTGGAAACCCTAATACACGGATGCTATGAATCGGAACCGACTCAACTGCACTTAACAACAAATGTGGAACTTTTAGGGTACTAACTGTTGAATGTACCTGTTTCTTTATCGTATATATGAACTTGTTTTTCTAATCCAAGATAGACCAATTTAGGTACATCAAAGATTTAATGTTTATTTTCAAATACGGTTTTTGGTTGTAATAGCTCGTTGTTTGTAATTGGGAGTGGACTGTCCATGGGCACATTCCTTACCTGAATTACACTCTAATTGTTCAGCAATAATCAATCTGTTGACGTCAAACAAAAATGAAAGGAGAGAAATGAACAAACCCTGCGGAGAATAGCACCTTGACCTATTTTCAGTTATCTGACCTTATTTTCTTCCTAAAGATATTTAAGCAATTAAAAAATAAACATATGTATCTCTAAAGGAAGCAAGCCCCCTACAAATGCAGAGCACACACTATCACTAGAAAACATTCTCCATGTGATCCGAGCCGTCACATGTTGTGTGTTGTAAAGTGCCAGTCAGTTCTGACAGACAGAGACCCTGTATAGGGTGTCCAAGGATTGCTCAGTGGGTTTGAACCGCTGACCTTGCAGGTAACACTCCAGTGCCTATCTGACAACACCGTACCAGGCAGACATGGAGAAAACCTCCTCCTAGCCCAAGCTCAGGCTCGGTCCCAGTGACTTTCTGCATGGGAATACTGGGTAGGAGCTCCCCACACCTGGAAACACCACAGACAGAAACACAATGACAATGTGTGGACAATAAGGGAGCAAGTCTACCGACCCCTTATGCAAATAAGGGACAACAGCACATATCTGTATCCCTGTTTCTGAAGACCATGTCGGGTCTGGGGAGTTCCTAAAATCCTTCCCCAAACAGCAGACTTTTGAGGAGTTACGTAACACATTTTATGATTCATAGAAACAGTCCTTACGGTGGAATCATTCTGAAAAGTATAGTGAGAATGGTCACATCAGAAGAAGAATCGAATCCAATCAATGCCATGGACATTTGGCTGGTAAAAAGATCATGTCAAATGAGGAAGAAGCATGTTACTGACAACAGCAA